TGCGCCTGGTCCCCGCACAGCGGCAAGTTTTACTTCTTCAAAGGTGGGTTGAGGGACCCCCTTGGTGGGAGCTGCACCTTCTCCTGCCCCTGTCCCCTCTGCCAGTCCCGTCCCAGTGCATTGCTGTGTCCAAGGTGTGCCAAAATCCACGGGGGCCCTGGGCTCGGTGCCTGCCGCAGATCAACTCTATGGCCCTGGGTGTATCGCCCCAGCAGCCCACATTGTGCCTCAGTTTCCCTGCTAGCCCAGTCAGGAGAGAAAACCCTTTGGGGTCTCAGGGAGAAAACGGCTGCAGGGAAGCTGAGTGTGGTGTTTCATGGTACATGTGGGTCCCTGCGCTGTGCCGGGGGCTGAGCAGCCATGGGGAGCCGAAATGCATCCCTGAGCTGCCCAGCATCACGCTGCAGCCAGATGGGTAGAGGAAGGTCAAACCAGGCAGCCCGGCTGCCAGGGTCAGCCCCAACTTTTAATGGAAACCAGTCGCTGGTGCTGCAGAAAGGGGGCTTTGTGCTGCGGCTGGGTGGGAGCCAAGAGCCCCTCTCCCTCCACAGCCCTTGGCCGCTCCCTCCCGCCCTGGGGCTGAGTCAGACCAAGGCTTGGGAGCAGAAAGGGGCTTTTGTCTGTCTGCTTCGTGGGGACAGGGCTCTGTGGGGACAGGGCTCTGGGAATGGCCAAGTGCTCAGCCCTGGTTGCAGTTCCCATTGCTGCTGTCCCGGCCCCTGAGGAGTCTGGGTCCGTCTGTCCCACGCACCGTGAAGGAATGGGGACAAACACAGTGTGGAGGCAGTGACAGTCCCTTTCCTTGCCTTCAGGGCCCTGAGCTACTGTGCCTCAGTTTCCTCCACAGCCTGACCCATGGGCAGCACCTCAGTGGTGCCGGCTGCGTCACCAGCAGGATGGATGTCAAAGATGCACGTCTCAAGCTGGACGCTGGCTCTGTGGCTGAGCCCTTCCACATCTCCTGGTGTTGGTCCTGGTCCCCATTGGGGTGGGCTCTGACCCCTTTCCCTGTCCCTCCCCAGGTGGCCGCTGCTGGTGCTACGCAGGCTCCACCTTGGAGGCAGGCTTCCCCCAAAAATGCAGCGCCCGCGGGCTCCCGCGGCACC